AGTGCTTTCGGCTTAGATGTGACAAGACCATTAGCATTGTTTTGAGTAATAGTGTCAGACATATCCTTGTCATATGAATTAATATGAATGTGCATACAAACTTTCCAATAACTATAGTTTTCTTTCAAAAAGATTTGGATGGTTTTGTAATCCCTTTTAGGTTCGTATGCCATTCTCTAATAAGAGTTTCGAAGCACATAATTAATTAGAGCTTTGATACCACTTGTTAGAATACGACACCATATCTAGAGGAGCTGAATAGATCTCCAAATAAAAACTACCTTTCAAAATTATTATTTAAAATTTATTTAAAAAACAATGTTGAGCGAAAGATTTTTGACCTAGATCAATATAGTAGTCTAAACGAACCTAGTTATTAGAAACTCGGACATGCACGAGCCATATGAAATTAACATAATGATAAAATCAATCAATATAATAATATCTCAATTAATAGTTTAATATCAAACACAACGGTTTCATATTTCCAATGAAATTATATTAAAAACATAACTCGACATTTTATCGAACATGTCGCGCGAAATCAATTTTTTCAGAATTTTCTTTGAGCTTAGTTGATATGAAAAAGCCTTTAAAATCAAAGTTATTATAAGCTAATCAACAAAAAAATTTAAACTCTAACAATCAAAGAAAAATTATATACGAATTGATCAATCAAACAACAAATTTAATAAATTGCACATATAGAGTAAATGAGAGTAAGTGATAGAATAATGCAATTTTCTTTTGAGTTGAACAAGCTAAACAATTTTTCAAACACTTAGTGTGCAAGTGAATTTAAAGAATTTTCCTTTAAGTTGTGTTGATACACAAAAGAACTTATAGTCAAAAATGATTCTAAGCAATATCAACACTTGATGTAAATAAAAAAACAGTTCGGAAAATTACTTACAATTCAATTGATAACGCAATGCTATTTGACAAATTTATTGAAGAATATTCAAGCAAGTAAAAGCGGTAAAAGAAAAGAGACACAAGGATTTGTCTACACAGTTCCCCATTTTTGTCGTTACATGTGGGTACATCTGCGCCCAATTCCAATATAGAATTGAGATATTTTCTTACTTTTCAAAAGTATGAATACAAGAGAAGTTTTCAAGAGCAACTATACAAAACATAATCGTTTGATGTCGATTCAACCCCTTCTATTCTTTTGATCTTCAACAAGACCAAGACCGATAGATGCAACCTATTCGCCGCTTAAGCTACTTCCTTGAAAAGATTTCAAACATTCTAAGGTTCCTTGCAAAGATTTCAAACACTCCAAGGAATTTTTCACTCGAGTAAATTTGATTGCACACTATCAACACAAGACCAATGATTCTATAATCCAATTCTTGCTACTTCCTTAAAAAGATTTCAAACACTCTAAGGTTCCTTGAAAATATTTCAAACACTCCAAGGTATTTTTCACATGGACGATTCCTTCTCGCACGATCTTGTACGAAAAAACCCCAATTCAACAAATGATTTTGGAGGAGAAGCCCGATGGTTTTTCCCAGATGAAGACCACTATAAATCTCAACCTAAACCAATTGGAAATCCATAATTCTTCGTCTAGATAGCACCCGAAGGAACATCATCACAATGTAATGTTGGTGTTTATACATAGATTGGAAAGTTGAGGAAGAAGAAGAGAAGTAGGCTAATTTTATGGTATCATCGAGTTGGAATGATGCATGAATGATATATTGATAGGTTGAAATATTTAGGGCAAAAAGGACAAATTTGGAATAAAAGAAATTGAAAATTTGACCAAAACAGATTTTATGTGTCGACTTCAAATTCGTATGTGTCGACACATACGTTATAAAAATAATGCATGTGTCAACCTGAAGGACTTTATGTATCGACTTGAACAAGTCAGAAGCTACATGCTTTAAAATGTGAGTAAATGTGTCGACCTAAAATATGGATGTGTCAACATATAAAATAAGAATTTCTATAATTTCAGAAATCTCTCAGTATGTGTGACCTGAAGGTTATATGTGTTGGCCTGTGACTTACAGAAGCTTATAAGCTTAAAGATTGAGTTACATGTGTTGACCTGGAAATCGTATGTGCTGACACATGCAATGCAAAAACATGCAGAAACTGTCTTTCAATGTGTTGGGTCAATTTCAAAGTACTTTTTGATGATTTCTAAGACCTATAATACAGAGAAGTGCCACAATACATAAGGATACCGTCCACCATACTGAAATGCTAGCTTTCCGAGTTTTGACATTATGCAAAACATCTAATAGTGAAGTTGCACTCACATACCATGTCTTCATACTCAACATTATTATCCATTTTACCTGAAAAGCAGAGGACAAAAGTGAATTTGACGATTAAATCAAATCCACCCTTATGTCACTAATCAAGTGAAAGGGTGTGTGAAGGCATGAGAACGACGTCCTCGGCCAAAGCCCATGCTCAAACAGAAAATGAAGACGCGTGGAGATCCTCCTCACTGGTTTAGAGTCTCCCCAAAAGGAAAATCCTTAAACTCTTAGAGGGGAATCTCCCTGACACATTACCCCAGAATTCCGTTTGAAGATTCATCATAAAATTCATATGGTTCATTTGAAAACGCACACAAACCCAGAAAATGGTTAGCGTTCATCGGAAAAATCATGAGTCCACCGGGAAACTCATAAGTCCCGTCAACAACAAGCCCATTCGTCATCATAACTATGACGCCTGATCAGTCAGAAACGGTGAATCCCTAACTCAACCACACCCTCTTGTCGATAGTGTCATCTGAAAGTGGCACATCCACCTTCAAACACCAACAGTCTCCAAAGCAACACTCACTCTAATCATTTCACTCTATCCACATGCGTTCTAAGCAGAAACAGAGCTAAATCTAGCATAAGATGGGGAGAAATAAAGAGCTTATATGGTCGGAGAACCTGGAACGACAGTTGGACGGTTCTATTGTGACGATGGATGGTGGAGATAACAACTAGAATGCTGAGGGAAGACGAGAGCAAGAAAGTGGCAAAAAGTGAAAATGAGCTCCTCCTTTCCCTATTTATAACAGCCTCAAAGCACGTGCACACGCTACCCTAGGAGAGGCTATGGGCCATCAGTAAACCCTAGCCCCTAGCCATCACTGCACATTAAATGTAACATGTGGCTCAAAGCAGGCGAGAAATGTCGCCTATTCAAATTCAATCGCCTGACCGACTCCCTGCGCGACGAACACAATGGATGATTTTTTATCTCCTCATATGAGCATGTCCTCGAGAAGTCACAAAATGTTCTTGTCACGAACAACAAGCGCCAACAGTGCGATTTCCTCCTCGACACACGAGATGACTCTAAGTCATTGCACCTAAGCCTAGGAGCAACGACTTGGGGGGCTCATGTTCTGGCCTGGCTCAATGGATGAGCATGGTCTAATCCACTTCCGTGTCCAGGGCAACCCAATAGATTTGGCCCAATCAGTTGGGGAAAACAGGAGGCACTTTTCCTCTTGCCCCTCAGCGGGAGACTCGTGATCGTTTGAACTCCAGGGCCAACAAGGCCACTGCTGCCCTCAACGGCACCTCTGCCCGCGTCATGCGCGTATCAACCTTCCCGTGACACCATCCATGCTCGAAGCAACGACTAGTTTCGGGTGCATCTGCTTGTTACAACGACTAGTTTCGGGCATCTATCCCAGGATAATGAGCACGTGTTTCCCGTTCCTGCTTTCACGCAGAAATCTTGACAGTTACCTAATTTTGCCGATCTAATATCCAGGCCCAAAAATAGGAATCAATGACCAAGCACCATGGATATTATATAAACTTTCACACTTGTGAGGGTCAGGTATTCAATATTCACTTCAAAACCCTATATTCTCTCTTGTATCTCTTTGCACTCTTACTTACTTGAGCATCAGAGTGCCTTACAAGTACACTCATTCCTTTTTTATTCTAGCTTTACAGACACAGATATCGACCCATTACAGATTTTGGTCACCGATAAGATCAACTTCAATACATATTTCTTCCTTGTTTACTTTTAAATTTTATATGCTTAACTTGAATATTAACATGGTACCCTCGACTTGTGGTCAAGCCTCCACCGCTGCACTCAATTAACGCATCTCATCCATCTTGATTTTTTGAGTTTTTTTTCTTCTTTTCTCTATAGATCCTTTCAATTTTTTCGTTGTTAACCACGTCATTTACAAACTCTACAAGCAGCATCACTGGCAGACCTCCATCACATGCCAATAACTCTTTGTACAAAGATTGATTGGTAACATCAAAGACGATATCAGCAACAAAAATTTCATTACTCTTTATCTATGTTTAATCTCTTTAGCAATTCTTTATAATACTTTGCTTGATTGATTAAGGTTTTATTCTTTAAATGATGAATCTGCAGTCCAAGAAAATACCGTAACTCCTCCATCGTAGACATCTCGATTCATTATGCGTTATATCTAAAAATCCTTGTACAAAATTGACTAGTAACATCGAAAACGATATAACCGACATAAATTTACACAAAATTTCATACTCAATTTTCTTAATAAAAAATGTGTATCAATTTTCTCTCTTTCTCTTTCAGTTTTCCCTCTTTATAAATTTAATAGAGGTATCCATGTGACTTTGTATTGTTGTTCTATAAAAATATTAAACTATAAATTATGATTTATTTATAAAACATACACACATAAAAGGTATTGAAAAGATAGTTGAAGCCACTCTCCATAATACGATCAATGAACTTTTTATCAATAAACAAGCGACACGTTGACCAATCTGATTCTCATGATCCGGCAAATCTTCTATGGACCCCTCCACTTTCTTTGTGCCCCCACCAAGTTACTCCTCATAGCTTTCTCCTCTTGCCATGTGTTAAATATTCTGATTTTTCCACATGCAATTACAACAACACATTCCAACCCCTACTTATGTTCCCTTCCTCAGAAACTCCCCTTTGTCTCCTCACTCCTCCATCCATCGTTTGCCTCATTCTGCACTCTCTCCACCATAATGAATGACTTCACTACCACCATCACCACCCTCCTCCACCTTCAACACAAACAAAAACCCCTCATGCATCCCTTCAACTACCAATATCTCACTTCCATCAAAACCCTAACACCCCATATCACCTGTCTAGCAGTCCACCGTAACCTTCTCTACGCCGCGTCTCTTAACCTCATCAACGTCTTCGATCTCTCCTCCAGTTACACCCTCATCGACACCTTCAACGAAACCTCCACTTCAGGTTTTGTAAAATCTATCACGTTTACCGGTTCGAGAGTCTTCACTGCTCACCAAGATTGTAAAATTCGTGTCTGGCATATTACATCTTCAAAACAACACTGTCTTGTTTCATCTCTTCCGACTGTTAAAGACCGGTTGCGCCGCTGTATCGTTCCTAAAAACTACGTCAGCGTTCGACGTCACCGGAAGAGTCTTTGGATCAAACATAACGATACGGTGTCTGGTTTAGCAGTGAACGAAAAAGAGAAACTCATGTATTCTGTTTCTTGGGATAAAAGTTTCAAGATCTGGGATTTGTCTTCCGGGTATTACCGGTGTTTGGAGTCTTTTAACGCGCACGATGATGCCATTAACGCTGTTGTTGTTTCGGAGGACGGTACTGTTTATACTGCTTCTGCTGATGGGTGCATTAAGGCTTGGAAGATGGATAATAAGGTGAAACGGTATTCTTTGGTGAGTTCGGTAGGGAAGCAGAAGCCAACTGTTAATGCGTTGGCGATGAACGGAGATGGTACCGTTTTATTTTCCGGTGGGAGTGACGGGACGATATGCTGGTGGGAGAATAAGAAGAAGTGTGAGGAAAACAATAACGTCGTGTTGATGGAGACGTTGAGGGGTCACAGTGGGGCGATACTTTGTTTGGTCAACGTGAATGGATTGTTGGCGAGTGGGTCAGCGGATTATACGGTGAGGATTTGGCAGAGGGAGAGAAGGGATGGTGGTGGTTATTGTTGTAGGGGAGTATTGGAAGGACATGAAAAACCGGTGAAGTCGTTGGTGGTGGTTTCAGGTGGTGGTGAAGAGGATGATGAGGTCGTTAGGCTGTTTAGTGGAAGCCTTGACGGGGAAATTAGAGTGTGGGAGTGTCTGGTTTGATTTTAAACTTTATCAATTCTGCTTATGCATAACAAGTCCACGTACTAATTATTAAATCGTGATCTCAACTAGCTAAGTTGAAACTGATACTAACATGGTGGGAGATTTAAATAATCGCCTTGCGATCGTGTAGAGGCTATTGTGATTTCGCTCGGTACATATGGGTGTAACAATGACTTCGGTCTGTGCTTTGGCTTTTCATGAGAGCATAAGATCAAGTTTCAAAATTGATTTATGGCCAAACCCTGTTCATCATCGATCACCAAAATTGTAGTTGCAATAAGTAAAACAAATATAATTATAGTTTTGAAAAAATTCACCCCAAACATACGAAGATTCTCATTCTCCTATCTTAAAATCTTTAACGTATGGTGTTTTTATTATTTTTTATTATGTTGCTTACATGAGTGTTAAACCCATGACAGAATCCTTACCACTAAACCAGAGTATTCTGATTGTTAAGTTTTTACATCAAATACATATATCATAATATTCATCTAATACTATTATTTAATCATTTGAAAAATTCTATTATATAAATATATTGAAACATATTTAGTATATGTTACTAAATGTTTCATTATATTTAATATTATTATTATTAATTATTTAAATATTTAATTCATATTTAATAAATTATTTATTATATATATTTAATTTAAATGATTTAATTAATATTATTAAATTGTTTATTATGTATTATTACACCAATATTTATTGAATACAGTACATTATTAAATTATTTATTATATATTGTTCCACGTCATTCACACTATTGTTTATTTAAATATTTATCACACTTACATTTTTAATTAACATTATTACATGTATATTTATATGTAATAATACACTTTCTTTATAATAAATATATTACATGTATTTTATATTATAAATAATAAATACTAAATACTATATGATAAACAATATATATATATATATATATATATATATATATATATATATATATATATATATATATATATATATATATATATATATATATATATATATATATATATATATATATATATATATATATATATATATATATAATTGAAATAATTGAAATTTATTTAAATAATTTAAATTGAAAATATATAATAAATAATTTATTAAGTATGAAATAAACATTTAAATAATTATGAAACATTTACTAACACAATTATGTTTTACAATATAATAAATTATATTTCATAATATTTAAGTAATAAATTAATAATATTAAACATAATTGTGTTAAAATGTTTCATAATCATTTAATATTATAAAACATAATTATTTTGAAACATATTTATTATATGTTAGTAAATATTTTATTATGTTTAATATTATTATTTTATTATTTAAATACTTATTTCATATTTAATAAATTATTTATTATATATTTTTAAGTTGAATTGTTTAAATAATATTATTAAATTTTTTATTATATATTATTAATTATTTGTTTTTTCAATTAATATATTTAAATATTTTCAATTAATATATATATATATATATATATATATATATATATATATATATATATATATATATATATATATATATATATATATATATATATATATATATATATATATATATATATATATATATATATATATATTGTTAAATTGTAATTCATATGTGTCAAAGAAGATTTGATTTGTTTTAGATTTAAATAGATTTGATTTAAGTCTAGAATATATTTGATTTGATTTGATTTAGTAACAAAAAGATATTTTGGGCTTTGGGCTTAGGGTGTAAGCTCAGTTATAAATAGAGGGAGTAACCCCTATTTTGAAAGTAAGTAAAGCAAGTCATTCACAGTATTTTGCAGTTGCAAAGTGAATAAGAAAGTTTTCCACAGTTTGTGGGCAGAGAGAAACTCTGCAGAAATATTTGTCTTGTCTTCTTTTCTTTGTTTGTCTCATAATTAAATTGTCATTGTGGTAGAAATTCATCATAGAATTTGGTGGATTTCCAACATCTGGTATCAAGAGCTTGTGTTTCGATTCAAGAGAAGTGTCAATTAAGAACGATTGAAGAATTCACGATGACAAGTTATGGGAATGAAAACTATCTAGCAACGCTGCCAATTCTGAAAGTTGACAACTATGAGAATTGGTGCAAACAGATGAAAGTCCTATTAAGGTGTCAAGGCCTTTAGGACCTTGTAAAAGATGGAGTCGAAGCGCTTGGCGAAAACGCTTCAGAAGAAGAAAAGAAGAAATATACAGAATCTGAGAAGTAGAGTTATAAAAGCATTATTTATAATTCATCAATGTGTCAGCCCAGACAATTTCGAAAAGATTAGTGATTCAGAATCTGCAAAAGAATCTTGGGAGATCCTTGAGAAGTCTTTTGGAGGCGCTGAGAAGGTGAAAGAAGTGAGGTTACAAACTCACAAAAGGACCTATGAACTGCTTCAGATGGAAGACAGTGAAAACATATCTGATTTCTTCACTAGAGTTACAAAACTAATAAATCAAATCAAGATATGTGGAGAAGCATTAACAACAAGAGTTGTTGTGTCGAAGATCTTGAGATCTTTAGCTCCTAAGTTCGATCACATAGTGGTGGCGATAGAAGAGGAGAAAGACTTTTCGAAATTGACAAAGGAAGAGCTTCAATGGACGCTTGAATCTCATGAATAAAGAATGAACGAAAGAGCTGCAGGAAAATCGAAGAGTGATGTGGCCTTGCAGGCACATTCAGCAAAAGAGACCAAAGGCAAAGGAAAGTGTTTCGACAGAGGTAGAGGTGGCTACAACAAATCGAATGGTAGAAGAAACCAAATCGAAGGAGACGTGTCGAATCAAAGAAGACCATACCAAGGCAACCAAAGAGGTGGTGTTGCAAATAGAGGAAGAGGTGGTGGTCGAAAACCTGATAAGAGTCACATTCAATGTTACAATTGTCAGAAATATGGACACTATTCGAGTGATTATCCAGAAAAACGAAAGAATCAAGAAAGTGATGCAAAGCTTGTAAAACATGAAGAAGAAGAGATGATGCTGATGGTCACAACAAGAGATGAAGATAGATTCAAGGACCAATGGTACTTGGATTCAGGATGTTCATCACATATGTCTGGAAGGAAAGACTGGTTTGTCAATATAAAGCCCTCAAAGAAAAATATGGTAAAATTTGCAAATGACAATACCCTGACAGCTGAAGGTATTGGTGATGTTATGATTATGAGGAAAGATGGCAAAAGGTCAGTAATCTCCAATGTGTTGTACATACCAGGCATGAAGAGCAATTTGCTCAGTATAGGGCAGTTGGTCGAAAAGAATTATAAAGTGTCAATCGAAGATAAGTTGATGAGAGTCGTTGATGCAAATGGGAGAGTAATCTTGAAGGCTCCTATGTCTCAGAATCGAACCTTCAAGATTGAACTAAATGTGATGGAGCACAAGTGCCTTTCGACTGCAGCTAGCAAAGATGAATGGATATGGCATTATAGACTAGGTCATCTCAACTTCAGAGACATCAGAGATTTGAAGAGAAGAAATATGATTTCAGGATTGCCAGAAATTGACATTCCAAACGAGGTATATGAGGAATGTGTGCAGGCGAAGCAACACAAGAATAGCTTCAGCAAGGATGCAGGAAGCAGATCGAAGGCTAGTCTTGAAGTCATATACTCTGATGTATGTGGACCAATCCAGGTGGATTCGATGGGAGGTAACAAATACTTTGTTACATTCATAGATGATTTCATTCGAAAGCTATGGACTTATTTGATCAAGAAGAAAAGTGAAGTGATCGAAGTATTTACCAGGTTTAAGTCTATGGTCGAAAGACAAAGTGGTCGAAAGCTCAAAGTTTTGAGAACTGGTGGTGGTGGAGAATATGTCTCGAAAGACTTTGACAGATTATGTGAAAAGGAAGGGATTGTGCATGAGGTGGTGCCACCCTATACTCCACAACAAAATGGAATTGCAGAAAGGAAAAATCGAACCATCATGAATATGGTGAGAAGTATGTTGAAAGGCAAGAGTTTACCTAAAGAGTTTTGGGGTGAAGCTGTTTCGACTGCAACATATATTTTGAACAGATGTCCTACAAAGAAGCTAGAAGGAATTACTCTAGAAGAATGTTGGTCTGGTGTGAAGCCTAGCTTGAGTCATCTGAAGGTATTTGGATCTATTGCACATAGACATGTGCCAGATCAGTTGAGAAGAAAACTTGATGACAAGTCAAGTCAAATGATCCTAGTTGGATATCATTCGACAGGAGGCTACAAGTTGTTCGATCCAGAGAACAAGAAGATTGTGATCAACAGGGACGTGATCATAGATGAGTTTAAAGAATGGGATTGGACTGCAAATGTTAAGAAAGATTTAGTGAGAATCCTATTCGAAGAGCCAGAAACTCAAGTCGAAAGAGAACTTTGACAAGAGGAACCAACAGATATACCAAGTACAAGCAGACCTCAAAGAACAAGACGCATACCTACAAGATTGAAAGATTGTGTGATTACATCAGATGATGTAATAGATAATGAAGGTGAGCTGGTACATTATGCTTTCTATGCAGATGTCGAACCTGTTAATGCAGCTGAAGCATTAAAAGATTCGAAGTGGGTGAAAGCAATGAACGAAGAAGTAAAGTCTATCGAAGACAACAACACTTGGTCACTTGTCGAATTGCCTCAAGGCAAGAAGGCAATTGATGTCAAGTGGGTATACAAAGTGAAAACGAATTCGAAAGGTGAAGTAACTCGACACAAAGCAAGACTTATGGTGAAAGGATTTCTACAGAAAGAAGGAAAAGACTTCGACGAAGTTTTTGCACCTGTTGTTAGGGTCGAAACTATCAGGTTGGTTGTTGGTCTAGCAGAAATAAACAGTTGGCACATATGTCAGATGGACGTGAAGTGTGCATTCCTAAATGGACCCTTAGATGAAGAAGTCTATGTTAAACAACCAGTTGGGTTTGTGAAACATGACGAAGAAAGAAAGGTGTACAGGCTACATAAAGCCCTGTATGGATTGAAACAAGCTCCAAGGGCT